AGATGGGGGGTGAGGTGCACCATTTGCATCTTACACCAATGTTTGTGGGAATATTCTACGTGGATATTCGTGCCTACCGACACTCGCGCCTGCCGACACTTAAACAGATCGGGTAAAAAAAAACTGGCCCACTAGGATGCCTTTATAAAACCTCCAACCCTTTTTGCATTTTTCCCCATCCAACGGTGTTGACCCCCCTTCTTCTTCCCTTCTTCTTATTTTACTTCTTCTTTGTTGTTCTCTCTGTTCTCTGTAAAAACAACCCACCCCCTTGCAAATCCATGACTATATATGCTTGCACTTAGGGTGTGGGGTTTTCAGCCTAGCCCAGATCTCCCTAAAGATGATTAATTGTTGTGTTTTGTTTTGTTTGTAGGTTTTTGGTAGATGAACAGATCTCTACCTTACAACCTCATTTTCTAACTCCATACATTGTAAATTCGAAACATTTGGGACAATGTTCGATTTAGGTTGGGGGTGTGATCTACAATTCTAGTTTGTTATAGTTTCGTATTTTAAAAAAAAAATTATGTTTATTTTTATTGTGGATTGCGTATTTTTACAATATTTTTGCTTTTATTTCATGATCATATCCAATGCAACTACAATCATCTTTGTGACTAGTAGACATTAAAGAACCAGATAGGGTGTCTTTAGTTTAGCAATCATGGATAGTAAACTTTTTTGGTTCAGTTTAGGCATTTTACGCACTTTTTCATCCGATGTGCATGCTGTGATAATGAGAAAGGCAAGAGTTGTGAGAAAAATTGAAATCCAAAAAGCACAAGCAAAACCGTTGTGTGGCAGAAGAACTTTTGCTAATCGTGTCAAACGACTGGGTGCTTGTAAATAATGTGGCACGTGCTTTCACATGAAAAAATACAATCAGTGTTCTAAACCAATTTTGGGTCGTGCAATCGATCGATTAAACTGGATAGTTTATGGACAGAGTAAGGATTTTCTTGACATAGACACAAGCGATAACATTTTCTTGACATTATACCAGTCCGGGACTTACACGTTATGTGCGACAACAAGTTGGAAGGGTCACTAATAATGACATAGACACAAGCGATTGCTCGGATTAGATTTTGGCTAATAATTACAAAGCTGTGGAAAAACGTATTTTGGGGATGAAGGTTAATGGTCTAAAATTTTTTGTAAAAAGTGTAAATATTTTTTTAGATGTACAAAGTCTTTTTGATAAAATAAAGATGTGGGCCGAATAAGGAATGTCCTAAAATGCCAACCTGTAGAGTGGGTAGGGACTTATCTTGAGACGCCATAGTTTTCCAAGTTCAATTTGTGCATTTATTCTTCTTTCAATTTTCATAGATAAATGTGTACGTAAATAACTTTAATTTTATTTGAGTTCGAATGCTAGTTCAAAAAAAAAAAACCTCATTTCCTTGAAAAATAATATTCTCTCTATGCTTAAATGTCAAATGTACATTGGTATTTGTGATTCTTAAGGTACAGAATGACCAGACTCGAAATTAGAATTGATATGTAATCGACATTCTTTGAAAACCTGACATAACCAGTGGAGATAACGAAGAATATCATGGTAAGTTTTGAGCCTTGCGATGCTTTCTGAGAGACAATCAACATTTACTCAAGTAAGCTCTTTCACTTTCAATTTTTGAATAATCTCATTAAACTTCCTTTGATTAATGCAATTAAAGTGATCTATTGACATATCCCACAAGCAACCTTTGCATGCGATACATACATGGGCACATACTTGAGAAAGGATTTTAGGCCATCTTTGATTTGATTTTGAGCCTTAGTCATTGCTTCTACGAAATTATATTCCTAGTTAGCCATGTTTGAGCCTTCAATGAATGATTTCTTCTTCAAGAAACCCATATGATAACAAAGCCACAGGAGAATATACTTGACATACCTTGCTATCTAATTTTCTTGCACCCTCTCATAAATCAGTATGATACAGAAAGGCAAGAGAAATTGAAAAGACGATGGTGGCTACTGTTCAATGAAAGAAAAGTCGGTGTAAACAACCAAGAAAGAAATGAAACAGAAAAACAAGGAATTGCCAAGAAAGTGAAAAATGAGAGAAATGAAAGAAAGAAATACCATTTCTAGGCAAAAGATCGAAAATCAAGAGAGAGGTGTGCTACACTACATTAAAAAGGGAATATCTTTTGAATACCATTGACTTCATTTCATTAGCCACTAACCTCTGGCCACATTACAACCTATATGAAACCCAAATTGATCTCAAGTTTGATGCATGTGTGTGTTGTCGACCGAAAATTGGGGTATGCTAAATAGTATTTCTTTAATTGCATTGATATTCTTCCATGAGATTATGCGAAGAACATGATTAGTCTACTTTCTTAAGACTTTCACTCCCTTTCTAACTGTGCATGTGATTTTTTGATTGGCCAACCTCTGATCACATGCCCTTTGAGAGACAAGTCACTATAATCAGAGATAATTTTTTTGCTGAGGGCATTTCTAAGAGAGGTTTGTGAAATCAAAGCTATCCATGGAGGGTGGTAAAGTGGAATGTTTGTCATGTAACAATTCTTGTTTCTAGAAAGACCATTCCTACTACACAGGGAATTCCAAGTGCCAATATGACTGATGCTAATTTTTGTATAGAATAAATACCTATGAAAGAGGAGCTTGTAGGATGTAAGTTAAAATTGAGGGTTGGGTGTCCCAACAACCATGATGCTAATTTACTTTAACTAGCAATCCCACATACACATCTGTTTGACTGGAGTTTGTAGGTAGCTCACTAGAAACCTTCACGAGACAAAATTCATCCACTAGGGATCAGTTAGGGGTTTAACGGCTTGTTGCATATGCTAAATGCAATCGTGTTATCTACGAAAGTGATTTTGTTCTGTTGTTATTTATTACTAAGGACTAGTAATGTTTAGGTCGGGGGTGTGATTAACTATAATTAATGCATAATTTAATTAAGTTAATAGGTCCATTGTCTTAGTTAAACAAAGTTAAATTAATCAAAATAAATCAAATTAGGGTTAGTGTGTGAATTAGGGATAATGCATTGATTGTTGTTCTTTTCAGGGCTTTGTGCGTCAAAGCTACCAATTACTGGGGAGCCAATTGCGTCAAAGCTATAATCTACTGGGAGCCAATTATCAAAGCTACGAACTATAGGGTGTCAATTATCAAAAACTCAAAATAAAGGTGGATCAAAGGGTAATTCAAGCCCTCCCTTTTTGCCTATAAATACCGCCCCTTGGGTCTTGTAAAGATCATCTTTTTTCTTGTATCATCTTTCTTGTAAAGATCATCTTTTGGTAGTGGAAAACCCTCTAAAAGTCATTGTTACTTTCTTGTGTCATCTTTCTTATAAAGAGCATCTTTTGGTAGTGAAAAACCCTCCAAAAGCCATTGTTGCATTATCATCTTTCTTGTAAAGAGCATCTTTTGGTAGTAAAGAACCCTCCAAAATTCATTATTGCTTTCTTGTATCATTGCTTTCTTGAAAAGAGTACCATTTGGTAGTGGAAAACTCTCCAAAAGTCATTATTGATTACTTGTATCATTGCTTTCTTGAAAAGAGCACCTTTTGGTAGTGAAAAATCCTCCAAAAGTCATTATTACTTCTTTTCTTGTATTATTGCTTTCTTTTAATATATTGCTTCTTTTATTGTATTATTGCCTTCTTTTAATTCATGGCTTTATTTTATTTCCATTGTTTTGAGCTTCTTTCTTCTATTAGAGGAGTGAAACTCTTCCACTTTTTTAGAGCTTTACCAAAGCCGTGAAGGGTAGAACGTGATTCACTCATTCTTTGTTGAAGATTGACTCCGTCTGTAATATGTTTTACCTTGCAACTCCTCTTGTTGGAGGGATAAGCATCACTCACTTTTCTAGCTTTCTCATCCAATCTTTAGTAAGAGGTGATGAACATGTATAATTATCCGGAAGTTATATTTGTGCATTTCGTTTATGCTTAGCTCGAATCTTCCTTTCTTCATAATGTCTTCTCATTACATTATTGTCTTTACCTTAAGCATGAGTAGCTAAGCCTTTAAGTTGGCTAATCCATGGGAGACCTCCTCTTGGGTATGCCATTTCAATTCAATTTTCCTTCCTCCACTCAGAGTATGATAGTTCAGTTTGACTAGGTAGAGGGTGAATGGGATTATGAGTCTTTGATATCCCGTAGACTTGTTATGGGTTATGCTTGGATCCTCACTTCCATATCGTCCCTAGCTTCCCACGAATCAATTATACATCTATGCTCTATTGGAGGAAGGATTTGAGTTGACTTGGTATTCCCATTGGAGTGAACCCTTTGGATTAGTCAACATTTGTTCTATTTCATTTTCATCAAAATCAAAAACCAACTTCAAACAACAAAATATTTTACACTTTTCTTTCACCCAAAGTACCTTCTACACGATTCACCTCCTTCCCTAAGGAGATGACCTTGGAACACAATTCCAAGTAAAACACGACACACAAAAGTCTTCTTGCGCTTGGGAAGCATTTTTGTTCACACACACACACACATATTTCATTCCACCATTCTATTGCCCTTTTTTTTGACATCATTCCAAGGGAGAGTGACACTCCCCTCCACACATGGACTATACGCATAGAGGGATGATGTTTAGAGGTTAGGATATACTACAACGGAAACAACCAAGCACTCCATGACTTCAATTTTGATGCCTAAGTCACAATTGAAAAATTTTATTGCTACCCCAAGACCCATCCTTAGAGGAATAGGCCAAAATGAGTAGTGCAATGTGTATAATGAGAAATGACCAACTAAAGTCAGCATGGGAAAATTGCAAAAGATTAATAATAATAAAATGATACAGCTAATCTCACTGCTGTCAGGGTAATCCTTGTTCATATCTAACTAAGCAGAATCAGATTATTTTGAACCACACATGCTCATACAAAAAAATAAGTGGGAACTTGGAAGGTAGGTAGTTAGAGCTATCCAGAAGCCAGCTGTGGCCATGAGAAACTTCTTTTCATGCCTAAGCAGTGAGCACATGCCTCATTGGCATAGTAACTTGAAGAATTTCCAGCTGAACTTTGGCAGCCAAAAGATGGATATGCTTTGGGAAAGTAGTAAACTTAACATGAACATTTATAATCTTCAATCCTTCGTAAATGTTGAGCTTATGTGCTCCCACTTGAAAGCTAAAAAAGTTGCCTAACATTATAAAGATGTTTTCAATTGAATTCCAACATGCAAAAACCTCTTTTTATAAAAGGATTCTACTGTTTCAAAATTGAATTTATGTCATTAACACTTACAAACTTAAATAATTGCTTTCCACAACCTAACTATAATTTTCAATAGCAGAACCTCAAACAACCTTGAGATAACTATAATTTTTAAAAACCTTGTAATTTTTGGACAGTAGAAGTAATGTCAAATAGATATAAATAATAAACTATCCAAAAAATTAGCTGAAGCTCTTTGTATAACTCACACACATTTGTTGTGCATATGTGTCCACTCATTTAATTGGTGTGAATGCTTCCTAGTCGCTTCAAACCTAGAACATGCTGAGGAACCATTTAACATTGCAGCACTTGTAACTCGGTTCTACTTCCACTTATAGTATGATGAAAGAATGGATAAAGTGATAAACTAATCAGTACTGTTAAAACATTTAACTCAAAATGAATCAACTATGGGTAAATACTCCCACAAGATTAGTCTGGAAAGCTTTACCCTACCCGGATAACATAGTTACAACACCCCAGCTATGAGTAGAGAGACCGAATAAGGTAATAGTTTGGAAGGGGTTACACCACCAACTTGTTTCAAGTTTGAACAACACAATTAGAAATGGGGTTGCAAATGGAGCCTAAATATTAATGCAGAGTGCCAGAGACCAAAGTGTAATCAATCAGTCATACATGTATAATAAACTAATAATGTATAGCTTAAAAGGGAGAGAACATCTAATAACAATCATTATAGTATGTTAGAAACACATTTAAAAGCATAGAAGGGCCTTACAGAATATCTTTGACCATTCCCCAAAAGTCGATGCAATGTCGTCCTGGATAGAATTAACAAAAGATCACACTTACATGAAATTGGTATGTTCTCCAGTTTAGAAGATATAATTAAATAACTCTAAGAGCATGCAAATCACCGTGAGAACAAAACCCGTAATAACGGTAGTTTAGCAATTCAACAATACGTAATTGTTGAATAAGACATTTCATCAAAAGATTGATAACTTGTGCCAGTTTCACCATGAATCACTTCCAAGTCAAAAGGTAGACAACTAGACATTATAGTCAAACTTTGAAACTTAAATTAAAAGTGGGAACTAGTTATCTAATATTCAAATTTAGGCAAGAATTGATGAAAATTCTGGAAGGAACTTATTCGAAGCTCCTAAAATGTATCAAACATCTCCAACTCACCTATGGTACTGGATGCCAGCAGGATAACAACTGCTAATGAAAATGCACCTTACCTAAACATAAAGTTGCTCTAGCGCTCCAGCATATCACTGAGATTTACAATAAATGCTCTGGAAGTCGAATATCAATCACTAAGGAAGTAAGATTACAATAAACTAAAGAGGAACTTTATCAACAACAGCAATGATGGTAAGCTATTGTTCAGGACACCACAAGGATAAAGTCATTGCGACATATGTTCCGCATGCATAATATTGGAGTAAATTCCAACTTGGGTCAATACGGCATGAGGATATTCTAATATATATAGGATGAACTCAGTACCAATACGTTAAGTTTAAGCTTTGGAAGTTGGCTCAATATGGACAACCCTTGATATCACCTGTCGGGAAGATAAAGAGTCCACAATGGAAGAGGCCAACATTCTTTTGATACCACTTGTTGGCAAGATGGGATCCACCATACGTGTTTGAGCCAACTCGACCACCCAAAAGCTCAATCGCATAGGTAGTGAGCCAGTCAATGTAAAAAAAATCCATATTTACCCAATGTGGGATAACTGGGCCATAATAAATTACCAGCTAGATGCATGAATTACATACTGACGGGCAACACAACTTCGATAGATTGTGTATAATTCATCTTCTTTTACACAATTAACAATCTTAATGCTATACTAACCCACCCTTTCAATGGTACCACATGTTCCCAGATCTGAGGTTTGGCATCCTTATGCTTGCATATCTGAAACAAATTGAAAAGTTACAATCCCTTATCAAAAATTAGAATGAACTTAATGGACTTATAGTGTAATTCAGCTTCAGCCTTACTTGGAGACCAGCAACATCATCTGTGGCCAAAAGGGTAATCAAACCAAAACCAGAATAGGCACTGGCTCCATATAATCCCTTTGTGGGATCAGATGTTAGACCTAATGAACAATCAATGAATCAACATTACACAAGTGACATCAATCAACAAAAAAAATTTTGCATGCTCCACAATGGAGTTTGGTAGCTTTTGTTTCAATTTTAACCTTCATAATGTAGCAGGCGCAACGTGGCAATAGGCTTGCCAAGCATTTTTTGCTGATAAAAAAAGTTGCTCTCAAGGTCAAGTGCAAGGGCTATGTGTCTTGCAATTGCTTTTGCCACCTCACTGAATGCGTACATAGAGAGATGAGAAAAAATAATGTGATTAGACAAAAGAACAAAGTCCAAGACTCCAAGTTGCCTTTTACATTCAAAACCAAATCAAGGCTCCTCATTACACAAGAAGTCTGGCTCTATAATTTCTGAACAAGTGTTACAGTAGGAAAAGACACCATGGCCTCATCAGAACAAGGCAAAAATTACAAGTAGTTTCGTCTATAACATGAACTCAGCAGCAAACATTATTCAATTTTTAACCTTAGATGGAAATCTTTTTTGTCTTCCCAAGATTCAAAGTTGTCTTAAAAATAGAAATCTTAGAAAAATGTGTCATACGAGAATCCATAAAGAATAGTGAAGCATAACACATTGTAGAATTTTGAGAGTGAAGTACAGTTAGATCCATTTTCTGGGACGAGTTAGATAAATTTTGGGACACGTAAACAATTGTTATCACAAAGAATAAAGAATATTAACGGTGGGCTTCAGTTAGCTAATAAAAAGAATATATCCCATTATCAAAGAGGGTTCCTGAAAGCAATATAGCATAATTGATGCTAACTGAAAAAAATCGTAACCTCGTATATTTGGTAGTTTCTACAAAATTACAACATATGATATATGTATCTATGTAACTACACACACGTCATATGCATATATAAAGGAATCAAATGCCTTCAGATATCAATGAAATGTAACTGTTCAAATGCATCCTATGAGAACCCCTAAAGAATACTCGATTCTCATGATCTTCTGCTTTCCTCATAATGTGATCTTCTCACAATACTTCCTAGTTGATGCATACTTTAAGATGCCAATAACATATTGATGTCTTCATTTAACAAACATCAATGAAATGTAACTGTTCAAACATTCAAACCATGTCCAAATAGTTAAATTCCTATTTGAATAGGAGTTATTCCCCATGTATTTTTGGTAGTGCATGGAGGAGTACATATGTCTGTCATATAGAACCTAGAGTTCTATCTGATAAAATAGAGGCCTGACAAAGTTATAGTCCTTCTCAATGGTATTTATCCATAGTTCGCCTCCATCCTTGCAAAATATCTTGCAGACATTCAAATAGTTCAAGGAATCAAAAGATTTAAAAAAAACCTCAAGTACAAACAGAAACAGGATATGTGAGCGTAAGTGTGCGTGTGCGTGTGCATGTGCGCACGTGCGAGGGAGATAGAGAGATTAATATGTGCCACGACCAATGAAATTCTTATAGACCTTTTAACATAGAAAAAATTGTTCCTTCACAAGAGAAACTAATTGTTTCTGAAAATTACCTGTTGAGGCCAAACATTTGGCCCGTAAAATGGCTTCTTTGCGTCAGAATCATCATCAGGTACTTCAACACCAATATAATATCCCTCCTTGTAATCTCCTAAATCCATAAAACATGACAATCACTTTTTGCCTAAGTATCGCATATAATGTTGACAAACCACAAATGACATGTAAGCAACCAACTGAAAGAAAAAGTGGAGTAGGACAAATGCAGCCAAATCATTGGACAGTGTTTCATAGTAGGAAGGCAACAAATCAGTTGGAAGATAAAAATTATATACACACATACAGCATATACACGTATACTAACACATAAAAAAGGCCATTAACAAATGTTAGTCCTGTGATATAGGGCGTTGGGATTGGTGTGGACATAAATTTATCCTTCAACATTATGCAGACATGCATAAGTATGTGTCCTTACATGCAAGAAAATTACAATGTGTCGAAGACCAGGTCAACTAGATCGTTCTAGTTTATCTGTAGCACTTGATCATCATCCATGGCCATACCTACTCTTCTGGCCTTCCGCTTGATCTACCGATAGTTACTGAGATGTTTCACGGGAGTACTACTCATGGTAACTTTCGTCACTGATTGGGGCACAGAGGTTTTCTATTATGATTGACGTTCAAATTTTATTGTGAAGGAAAAAATAGTGGAATGACCGATATTCAACCCAATGCCTTTTTAGTGAGGAAGACTTGTGTCAACCTTGATATCATTACAATTGTGTGCATGATGTGTGGGTAACATCTTAAGGAATTCTTTTTGCATAGGTCTTTCTGGCATTCCCCTTATTTAAGAAAATATTCAAAGGTCTTCACTAAAACTTATATCAAATAAAACATTACATAGACTGTTACATTACGTTATTCATATTGCTATATTGTTGCTTCATTCAATTATACAAAAAAGAACGGCAACAAACTAACCATGTACTTGATTGATAGGATCCAAATGTTGATCTAAAATAGGGGTATATCCTCGATGCTTCTTGTTCCTCAGAAGCTTCATTTTTTCCTTTATGGGTAGATCAAAGAACATTTTCCTTTGGGAAAAAACCTCATCCATGAATTCCTCATTGATTCCATGATTGATAACATAGCAAAAACCAGAATCCAAGCAAGCCTAATGCACAAGTGATGAACCAATATACTTAAGCCTAGAAAATAATATCACTTTAGATGAGATGTAACCAATATATGGGGAGGAGACAAAGCACATAAATTAAGGTCTAGGCGGCACTGAGCCACTAAGGAGGACAAAGGACACAAGTGGGGCATGAAAATTGTCCGGAATGTTAGACAGAGATGAAGAAATCCAAGAAAATGAAGTGTAGTTATGCAATCACTTATACATAATGTTGTTGAAACTTATGGAGATTAATAATTATACAGTGATTAATAATTACATGTGCATATTGTAACCTTTCTTAGCAGGGCGACAACTTTTACAGTGGGGGCCTAGCTTTCCTGCTTTCCCACGAATAACAAGTGATATTTTCAGTATTCAGGTACCTTAGTTGTCCCATAGAAAATCAATTACTCACTCATAACAGTTGAAGATACCAGTCCACCCCTTCAGAAAGGCACTTCCAAGAAGTTGTTGTCCCATTATCAAAATATGACTCAAAATTGTCAATTGTTCCAACTCCATCATGTGGGTTGAGGACTGAAACTTTCTATAATTATTGATAGTTTCTAGCAAATAAAAAAATTCAGCACAATGGGCCAATTCAATTGTTACTCAAAACTAACAAGCACGAGGTCATCAGCTTGGATGGTCAATCATGTATATATGCGAAAAGTTAGAATATGCATCCCTCGCAGATGGCAATTCACAAGTTGCTTACAGCCAAGGTAGGGCAGGTTGTGTAGATTCAATTCCATTACTTACTTGATTTTTTTTTGTGGAATTAGCTTTGGGCTTTTGTGCTTGTGCACAAGGTGCTTCTGTAAAATTGGGCCAAAATATTGGAAATAAATGACAAAATAGACAAATTGCTACATATTGACATAAAAAAGAATGGTTCCAGAGGAAAAAAAGAGGGAAAAAAAGTTATTGAAATCTAGATTAATTATACATCCTTCGGCATCATTCAGGCAAGTTGATCTTTAGTTTCATCCAATCATTTTATGTATATGTTCCTGATTTCCTCAGCTATGTTATCTGACATACAAAATGCAATGGACAAGAATTGCAAATGGAGCAAAAAGACTAAATATCGCTTAGTGCTTCATAAAAATACTCTGTGAAATTATAGAATCAAAAACAAATATTAAATCAACATTTAATCAACTGATCGCTACTATTTTTTGATAGGTTTAATGAATTCACCAAGAAATAATCAAATTGAATCACGCTTATAATCCATGGCCTGCTAAGAGCAAATATTTTCGTACGTATACATTATTCGCTATATATATATATATATATATATATATATATATATAGAGAGAGAGAGAGAGAGAGAGAGAGAGAGTGACTACCTGTTTGAGTAGAAAAATAGAGTGTTGAATATCAGGACTAGAGAGATCGATACAATACAGAAAAGAAACTGTGGCATAATTCGGAAGAGATTTGATAGCTTTTTCATTTGTGTTCATCATTTTCAAGAATCAAATTACAACAGACCTTAGGTCATGAAATTCATATATGAGAAAAACAGAGTTCTCGTTCACTATAGAGAGCGATAAATGGTTGTGACTTGACAATTGACAACCACTTGGAGACAATATTTGACCTGACAATTGACAACCACTTGAGTGGTGTTTGGATACCCACTAGTTGGAAGGGATAAAATAGGAGTGACATAAGTACACTAAGACCCCAACCATTTGATTATATTGTCTTTATACCCTTCTCTTATCTTTTGTTTTTGCTAAGCCCCCTGTACTCAATGCTCCGTTTGGTAAATAAGGATGGAAAGTATGAGGGATAGAAAGTAACAAAAATACATTTTCTATCATTCAAAGAAGGAAAGTAGGAATGATACACTTCTTTTTCTTTGTGTCTGGTTAGATTGATGAAAAATAAAAATGATTTTTTTTTGTGCTTGCTAAGATTAGGGGTGACTATCGAGTCGTTTCGAGTCATTACAGGGTCATGTCGAATATCAGTCAAACATAACTCAACTCATTTAACGAATCATGTCGTGTCAAATTGACCTGTTTTATTTTTGTATCGTGTTCGTGTTTGTATTTATGTTGACCCTCATAAACTTTGAATAGAAAATTTAATGCTAATATTTTATTTTGACTTAATTGAATCCATGCTCATACTATTGTTATAATCTAAAAATTAACTTAAATAAATATAATTGTAATAATAGGTAAAAATATATTTTTATATAATATTTATGTCAGTGCTTAATAAATAGTTACAAATAATTAGCATTTTATGGCTATAATACTAGTGAAACACATTAATTTCGTGTTACAATATAAACAAGAAAATAGAGAAAGTGTTTATTCTTAAATAAACGGGTTGATGTGTCAATTTTGAGTTTGACGGGTTCAACTAAATATGAACCGTTTATATTTCGTGTTCATGTGTCAGATCATTTTCGAGTTTGTGTCATAAAATTCATGTCGAGTTCAAGTCGTGTCAACGTGTTGAGTCAAAAATTTACACCCGTAACTAAGATGGAAAAAAAAAATTATTGTTTTTCAATTTTTTTAATTTTTTTATAAAAAAATATAAATACATATTTTATCATTGTATTTATATATGTAATTAATGTATACATAATAAATGTATATATCAAAAGATATATAGACAAATAAGATATATTTCAACACAAATAATTAACTTTCCATCCACTTTCGTTCCGATTTAGAGGGATTGATTTTGGTGAGTTGGAAGGAAAGCTCATCCATCCATTTTTTCTTCCTTCTTTACCAAACGTGATATTTTATTTATCTCTCAAAATTTTCATTTTTCCAACTTTTCATCTTTTCAACTTTCCATCCTTTCATTTTTCCATCATACCAAACACAACATAAGTGTTATTACTCAAGGCTATTTAGCTCTTGGATGAAGAAAAAATTAAATTAGGTGGTGTTTGATAAAACTAAAAGTTAAACACTAAAAACTGAGTGCTGAATTTTTTAATTCGCAGACTGTTTGATATCAACTGAAATTTAAGTATTTAATTGAATCAAACTGTTTGACAAATATAAAAAGTTGAAGTCTGAAAATTATTATTATTCTAATTTTGTCCTTTTATTAACTATATCTATGCAACTACCTTATTCCTACCTCCACCACCAAAATGGTAGTGGTGATATTATTATTTTTTTGTTGAGTATGTTACTGTTTGATGTTACTATTTCTTTGTTGAGTGTGTTACTGTTTGATATTACTATATATGTGTGTGTGTGTGTCTATATATATATATATATATATATATATATATATATATATGAAATTTCAAAATTCAAATGATACACAAATATTAAAAGAAATCTTGAAAGTCTCACATTATAATATTTAGATATTGAAAATATAAAAGCTATCAATTAAGTATGCACTATTTATGGTAGGGATAATTATGGAATATATTTTAGAAAAAATTTGAATATGTTTTAAAATGTATACTTATTGACAACTATTTGATGAAAAATAGGACTTAAAGGATGGTAAGTTTGAAGGTGGTACTTAAAGCCAAATAAGTTTTGAAAAATGCCCTTACATCTCATTATCTCTTAAAATATAAGTGATGGACCAGGCCCAACTCATGTTGAAAGCCTAGGCTTAATTAAGAGCCCAACTTATAAAGATCTAGTATCCAACCCAAAGGGGTCAACGCCTGGACAACCTTGCCAAGGGAGTAAACAGGGTCATCTGAGAGCTTCATTCACGCAGCCTTGGAAAAGTCAACTCCCACGTCATCCTTTGACCGAATCTTATAGAGAGCACCGTAACTGCCTTATCCGTTGAGAAAAAGGTGTCATCTCCACCAAATTTGTCACTTAGTTACTAGTAACTCACCCCAATCTGTTATGAGGCGATTATAAATTGTAAATCCCACCAACACTTGAGGGACATCACATTTAGTGGAGCACATCTCTCCTATCCCTTTCAACTTGTAACTCCCTTCTCTCGCTACACACTTGAAGTAATACAATACCTCGACGACCCTAGCCATTCAGAGTGGACGTAGGTCACTGGAACGCCTCCAAAAACCACCTTGGACGACATTACTATCTAAAACCATTCACATCATGAGAGCAACTAATAAAATCCATCATTAAAGAAAATTTCATTCACCAAATATAACATTTACAATATCATCCCAAAAGAATATGTCAAACATGGCCCTTGTATCCAAAAGAATATGATGAACTATGGCAATTACATCTAACACAATCAAATTTGAACTTTGCAGTAGAATAACAAAAGGTTAGACTTTACATAATCTCAAAAGGAACTTCTTAGTCTATCACGTAGGAGAGTATAGCCCTAAGCATCCATCTTGGGATCCACGTGCCCATCTAGGGGAACTTCCCAATGTATTGGCTCCTCAACTCCGAGCTCCTCCTCTTGTACAAAATCTGAAAAATATATTGTTTGTAGGGGGTGAGCACTAAGCTTTGTAGCAACATCCTCCCAAACTCAAACAAGGTTTAAAAAAATAATATAAAACAATTCAGTCTCACTTTTCAAAATAGCATATATAATTTGAAATAAAACAGTGACAATTTATTTGATATCAAGTTAATTTAATAGAAATAATTTAAATGAAAGGAATAAGCATGTCGGAGTGATAGAAGTCAAATAATCATTCAATAATGTCATCCCATATTCTCATGTATGTTGGTTGCTTCCCATGAATCTATACCACGATTCTACCTCGTTCACCCACCAATATCACACAATCCCAAACATTTTAGGAAGGGCGTATACCGTCTCTCACGGCATTGACGAATCCTTGCCATGAAAGGTATACCATCTCTCAGCCTCGAACTTACATGAACAATAGTGGTTGCTCTCACAAACAACAAACCACTACAAGTATTAGGAAACCATCTCACCCCCACTGGGATAGACTAACCTCTAACACTCTACGACAGTACTCGAATGCAATTCAAGTCCATCACAACAACCATACAAGAGATGCAATAACAAATATTTTCTCAAATCACAAGGAAATCCAAAATTTCCAAATTTCACAATTTGCATTACAAGAGAACAATTTAAGAAAATAAGCAAGAGATCATCAACAATCCATTTTTATGGTTCATTACAAGCACTAAAGTTTTGAAATCAAGAACAAGGTAAAAATCAAGGGAAAAATCCCTTTCTCTTGGAAACTAGGG